CACCCCTTGTCCAGTGATTGTTGCCTCTGCTCCCACTTCTGTTCAGCCCACAGACAGGTGGAGAGGGGGGAATTGAGAGCATGCACACAGGTGTGGGCCCCTCAGGAGCAGGGAGGTCAGCAGAGCCACACTCAGACCCAGCACTGCAGGCTGTCCCATCAGAGATGATGCTGTCAGCCCAGTGCTTCTCCAGCCAGGGAGTCTGTCTCTGACAGGGCCACCAAGAGCCACTTCACAGCAGCGTGTGTCCGTCCTTCTCCATGGTGTCACTCTCCAAGATGAGGAAGTGTCCCCAGATATCCTTTATGCCACTTACCCAAACCTTCTTTGCTCCGTCTGCACTTTCTTCTATGCTCAGTCAACACATTCACTTCCTCCAGGAGAAAAGCACTTCCATATTCCAGCCAGACTTTGTGCCCAAGGTTCAGACGCACAATTCCACGTGGATGTCCAAGACTGGATTTGTCCTCTTCTCCTCAAAATTCGTTTTTCCTCCTCACTCTCCTGACTTTTCCCCTCCTGGCTTGTTAGGAGCATCACCAGTAACTATGGACAGACACCTCAGACTTCTCAGCGCCTCCCTTCCCAGCCTCTACCCCTGAGCCCAAGAGTTACCAAGTCAGGAAGCTCCTGTGTTCATAGCATCCAGTCTGCCTGTCTGTCCTACCCTCATTTCTGCCAGTGAGTTCACAGCCTAACCTGGTCACCATCACTCCCGACCCTGCTTCTCAGCTACTCAGAGACATCCTAACACACACGCCTGCCAACTTATTTTCCCGCAGAGCAACTCTGATGATATTAGCTTCCTGTTCAAAAATGTTCAGTGGTTCCCACTGTCTCCTGAACTAAGGACAGACCCTGACTTACCCACCATGGCCCCAGACTCCCAATTCAGCCACCTGTCTCATCCTGTGCTACAGTTAAGCTCGATAACTTTTTGTTCCATGAAACAGGGAGCAAATACTTGATCTCATTCGTATTCTGCCGTGTTGCCTTTTTCCTGTGGTACCCTCTTTCTGGAATGTGTTTCTCCAGAAACTTCTCTTGTTGAAACCAAACCGTTCCTTCAAAGACCAGCTCCAGCAACACCCATTTTTGGAGATTGTCTTGATGTGCTTCCATGATTCTCAACTGAAGAGAACCCCTCCCCACTTTCAGGCACTGGGGCATTTCTCCTAGCACACATCTGTCTCTACCCTTTATGATGACCCTGTGTGTTCACCTCACACACCGCACTGGATCTTCAGTTCCTTACAGGTAGGGGCTGCTTTGATTTACGCTTGTCCCTCGGTTGTGCTTGGCATGACATCTTTCGTGGACATGTTTTCAGTGGAACCAAGATGATTCCTATGCAAAAAATGAACTTGTAGGAATGACCTGCCTTACATATTTCATGAACCACCAGAGGATAAGCTAGCTAGCAGGTGTTCACTCACTCTACCCTGTTGATTACTTAGTGAATTTTGGTGACACTGTACTTGCACCTGGCCTTCACCTACACGGGTGGATGGCCTAGAGTGTCCTTCTCCCCAGCCACCCAGCCGTTGTGCTGACTAACTCCTCCTGGGCCTTCAGGGCTCATTTTGGTCCATACGTGCTTCAGGAAGTCTTCCCAAACCCCAAGTTGGGCTTCGTGGACATTCCATCTGTGCAGTCCTATGGAGCCCAGAACTTTGAAAGGTGCCACACTTGGTGTCATGCTCTGCTGTCACCATCTTGAAATTCTTTATACTTTTTAAACAAAGGGCCCTCACGTTTTCACTTTGCACTCAACTCCACAAGTGAAGTAACCAGTCCTGCCTAATCCCTCCCCTCTTGTGTGCTCCTGGCATCACCTGTACCTTCCCTGTCCTTGGAATCATCACGCAGAACTTTAATTTTCTTTTTACATCTGTTTACTACCCTGTATGCCTCAACAGATCCTGAACTCTGAGAAGGCAAGAAAAGAAAATCTTATTTATTGTTATATCCCTGTGGCTCAGCCTGGTATTATATGCTTAATCAGTATTTGCTGATTGGACAAGTGGATGAATGGTTGAGGAAAGGAAGGAATTCATTAATGAATGTATTTGTTCATCAAAGCCCCTCAGGCAGCCAGGGCAGTGCAGGTATTTGGCTTGCTGTCGTCAGGTGGGTCCCCATAGAAATAACAGAATTCTAGCACAGAAACCACTCTTACCAGAAAGGAGGGTAAGATCAGCTCAAGAAAGAAAATGGGCAAAGTAGTGACATGAAGGGAAAAGATTAAGCAACACCCAACTGTTAGTGAAGAAGCCGCTAGCAAAAGGGCTTGTGATGTAGGTCTTTTTTTTTGTTTGTTTTTGTTTTTTGTTTTTAAATAGGATTTACTTTTTTTTTTTTAATTTATTCATTTATTTATTTATTTAGGGCTGTGTTGGGTCTTCGTTTCTGTGCGAGGGCTTTCTCCAGTTGTGGTGAGCGGGGGCCACTCTTCATTGCGGTACGTGGGCCTCTCACTATGGCGGCCTCTCTTGTTGCGGAGCGCAGGCTCAGTAGTTGTGGCTCACGGGTCCAGTTGCTCCGCGGCATGTGGGATCCTCCCAGACTAGGGCTCGAACCCGTGTCCCCTGCATTAGCAGGCAGACTCTCAACCACTGCGCCACCAGGGAAGCACCTTGTAGGTCTGTTTTGAACAAACACGGAGATCATGAGGCCGCCGTTGGGATGCCCTTGGAAGAAGGTGTCTTAGTGACTGAGTCATCCCCTGCTTGCTTCTCTGAATGTTTTCTGCCAAACCTGGACTCAAGAGGCATCTACAGATAATAGCCCCTCACTGGAGGGAAACATCTGTCACTCTTTATTTGATGCCACTTCATCCTCCAAACTCCCTCAGTGATCCCTGGATTTCAGTTTTCTCGTGAGTAGTTCGGGGGTCTGTAGGTGTGCTGGAATTTGATGTCAGTTTACAATTCCCAGTCTGCTAGGGCCAATTTAAAATGTAGTCCAAATAATCCTGAATCATCAGGTACATGAGACAAAAGTATGATGAGTTGTTATTAACTCACGTACCAGGTTTTCTCCCTAGTAGAGTCCTTCCTCTTGAAGGCTTCTGCTGTTCGGAATAACTACCTCCCTCTCAGTTGGAAGAGATAGAGAAGTACCCCCAGAAGTCTTGCTGAGCCAAGAACATCACTGCCATCCTCCTCTGTGCCAAGCAGCCTGGGATGAGTCACAGTATGTTCTTAATTCTCAGTTTCCATATCTGCAAAATGGGAACAATGAGATTTCTGCTCCATAAATTTGAGAGGATAATGTGGATAGTGCATGTGAAAGGGGCTTAGCTCAGTATCTCGCTTATACGAAACCCTCCGAATGTGAGTAATTATCAGCATACCCACTTCAGGTTCTGTGCTGAAATAGATATAAAGAAATAAGGAATGCATGGTATCAATCAGGAGTCAGAAAACTTTCCTCTAAAGGCCAGAGAGTAAATATTTCAGTCTTGTGCTTAGAGCACAAGTCTCAGTTCTGCAGTTCTTGTGTGAGCGCAGCCATAGGGAACACACGGGTGAATGGGTGTGGCTGTGTGCCAATAAAACTTTATTGGCCAGATTTGTCCCCAGGCCATAAGTGACCAATCCCTGGCTATCAGCCCTTGGGAGCCCCCAGTCAAACGTGGTAGAAAGACGTGCAGATTCATCAGGGCAGGTCAAGAGGAGGCAGAGGCCAGCTGTACTAAAGAACACAGAGCTTATGTTTTACAGGAGATTGTAGAGTAAAAGATGAGATGAGGGCTTCCCTGGTGGCGCAGTGGGAGAGTCCGCGCCTGCCGATGCAGGGGAACCAGGTTCGGGCCCCGGTCCGGGGGGAGCC